CATCAGAGCATTGGCTAGATGCATAGAACAGATCAATGTGTGGATGTGCCATACTTTTCTCAAATTGAACAAAAGCAAAACTGAAGTAATGATATTTGTAGCAAAGGAGGACAGATCCAGAGTTAGCTCACAGCTTCAGCTACTACAGCTAGAAACTACTGATTATGGCCGAAATCTTGGTGTCATGATATTAAGAGTTGTCGAAGCTAAACTTTGTGCTGTGAAAACGTGAATACCATGCTATTAAGACTGACATCGCTCACCAAGGCAGGTGAACTGTGCCCCAAAAGCTTAGAGGGTAATACATTTCAATTACACCCCTGATATTGGAGAGCAAGCATAAATATCACCAAAATCAGTATCTACTTTACTGCAAATCACTGATCACTGCATCAAATCCATAATTTTTTCTACTGCTGTCTCAATTACATTGACATTGTATTATTAGTTATGAAAATTGTTAAGAAGAATGCTGACAAATGGTAAAGCGGGGAGTACTCTTAAAAAAAACATTTTAATTTAGCGCTAGAAGGACTGTTTCGTCGTCCTACTTCCAGCACAGACATCAAACAGTAGGCACCTTCCCTCCCCTATTCCTTGCTTCAACGCTCCTGTCAATCCATTAGGCTTCCCTGATCCCCCGCTGTCCTTCTTCCACCTCCGCCAGTTAACCACTAGAGGCCAGCCTCAGCTACCCGTAGCCTCTACCTGCCCTAGGACTGTGTTTCTCTGGCAGAATTAGCCAGACTTCCACTGTGCTCCTCAGCTCTCTCCGTGGCTGATCACATGAAAATTGGGCAATTTCCAAACAAGTCTAAATATGTCCACATAAATGTAGCTAATCAACAGAGTCAAAGCAGCATCATTTAACAATGTGAAATATATAAATAGTGGGTAGGTAGGAAGCTGAACAGTTGGGCAAAATTAATGGATGGAAAGGGGGTTTGGCTAAGCAGTATACATACTTACAGTATCATTTTGTCATCATGTTCTATCCACATCACATAACCTATACACACTATATACGAACCTGATGCCTGGTTCCTTAGGTATACAGTTACTCACCTAATAAAGGCAAAATTTTAAACTCTCCCTCAGCCATTCGGCTACATTTTGGAAAAGAACCAGACATCTGAGAACCTTAATCCACTGTTCTTACAAAAACAAGCATTGCATCACCTTAGGTCAAAAGTGGAAAGTGGTAAGAATCGGGTTTGTACAGGTTCGTATTTACAGGGTGCAAGAGGAGGAGGGGGTGGGGCAACCACCACAAAGTTTTCACTCTGGCAAAGATTTAATCTTTCAGAAAGAGCTTATGATTAAACATAGTTATTTAATAGTTACACCAGGATGCCAAGCACACACACACACCAGAACATACTTTGGTTGCAACACCTTATGTGATATTAACTCGTGCTAAATGAAGCCTGCTTATGCAACGGTGTCAAAAGAAAACAAATAGAAAACAAAAAACAGTTCTTAACATGCCTGGATTATTTTTACTGACATGGAAAGCGGAGCTAAGGATTCTGGCACCAAGGGTGGCATGCTTTACATTTAGACCTAGCAAGGTGCAATGAACTGTGCTTTGGTCCCCCAGCAGGATTGGGTTAATGGTGTCATGACATCAGTGAGGGAGTATTAACAGGTTATAAGCCCGGACTAACCAGTGCTGAATGACCACTGGCTGACGCAAGACTTGATGGAATGCTGCCTACAGCATGACCTGGAGCTGGTATGCCCCTAGTAGAGGCTAAGAAGAGTTTGTAAATGTTTGGTTTCCTGGGCCTTTTTACTTACTAATATACAAACTAATATACAGAGTTAGAGTCTGAAATCAAGGGTCTGAATGTCTAAAATGAAGGCAAGCTGAGTAAAGGTTGTATAAGTACTTGCAACTGGCGCACTCATCGGCATTCTGGCAGCCGACAGTCTTGGAGAGTTCATGCCCCATCATGCCTGTGCTTACTTAGCAAGGACTTGAAATAGCAGAACAGTGAAAGAAATCACAACTGTATCAGTTAGTTGCCATATGCATAGTGATATGACCGCATCACACTATTTAAAATAAAAAAAAAAAAAACAGAAAATAATCTACTGGAAAACACACCCACAACCCATTTTAGGCTATGTAGAAGAGTTAAGACGGTATAAATGTGTCAAACCAAACAAAACAGATCTCTATATATCTGACCTCTTTACTGGACATGGCATCGTTGAAATAACAGTGTGTTTAAGCTCTGCTGGCCGGTAACAAAAAACTGGAATTGACTTCTCATCAGGTCTTTAAGTAGTATATTCAAAGTAAATGTTTACCCAAACTGGAAGTTGATATTTTCAGTTCTATAAAAAACAAGTTCTGCTTCAGCATAAGAGTATTCCAAAAGGAATTTACCAATACCTATAAATAACTATTAGAAGGCAAAAACTCCATGAGCCATATGATAGTCTACTTTAGTAGTGCATGTACTTTAAGCTGTTTAGGGGGTTTATCTAGTTGAAGTTACCAGTTTTTGAACCCGGTATGCTGAAAACAGTGGACTTATGTATGTAAGAGCTAAGGGGAAAATAAGAATGCCACATCCCCGGATGTTAACAGGTTAGGTGTTATTCAAAATCTGGTAAGGACACACAGATAAACACTCTTCTGCGTTTTTTGTTTTTTTTAATTTATTTTTTTAGTTTAATGTAGTTTTGATTAAAATATTTAGATCAAACCTGTTGACTAAAAGGAATATTTGCATTTTCATTTTTTTTTTTGCAAATTCCTAGTGAGTACGCCAGTTTAGCACACCCATCTATACTTGCCAAGACAAAACATTTTGATAGATAGGCAGCTTCTGCCAAAGACACTATGCATAACAAAGAGTATATTATCAAGAACCAGCTGATTTGTTGGGATGCTAACACAGAAAGGTGGATCATGTAGTGATGACTAGGGCTGTGTCTGAATGTCCACCCTAACCACTGTAAAGAGCACTATATAGTGGTAATGCCCTTTTAAATGAAAGTCTAGTTGATGAAAAAGTAGTAGAAATTTCCCACTTTGCACCTTAAAAAGTAGTGATCATCCACAGTCACTAGATGAGCAGATATATCCCGGAATGCTTTGAGCGGCGAACTCTCCTCGCAAAGCATTATGGGATTTGCTGTCACCGTGGCCCATCGTCGTTACCCGACAGTGGCAACTAATAACAAAGATGGCGCAGGCATTGCACGGGGGAGGCGGAGTTACGTGACCAACGAGCAAAAAGGAGTGATCATTTGTCCGAACGGTCAGTTAACTGGGTTCACTATAAAGTCCACTAAATAGTCCCTGCTCTATATAGTGATTGAGGGATTTAGGGGTTTGGGCGGAAGTTTAGACACAGCCTAGGATTCATGTCTTCTGGTCTCATTTCTAACTTAACACAGTTTCTTAGTTTACCATAATATACACCAATAACTACATTAATGTTGTGATTAGATTTACCACTATGAGCTTTTGAAGCAGACCAAAAAGAAAGAACAGTAAAGGTTAAGGCATGATATTATGTACTATTTGTGGTGCTAAATACTTCACTGTTACTAAATAGTATAAAGCCATGCTTTGGTTTTTCTTACATACAATGTTATGTATGTATATATATAAAAAAAGAGAAAATATATGTATGTATGGTGTTGTATTGGTACAAGGATCACCTCAGTTATGTGTAAAATTTATCCCAAGATGTGGAAATTTAAGGTTTGCTTCTGAAAAAAATTGTACAAAATATTTTGAACAGAAAAGTTTGAATTTTTAAACAATACGTGCAATAAGTCTGCCTCGAGCTAAAAGACTGATTTTTATCTAAGTTAGTTATGCGTTATGCTTAAAGTAAATTTTAAACATACAGAAACACATACACATGCCTATACATACTTATACACACATATACATATATATATATAGTTTGAACACACGTATGGGGTTTTTTGAAGCCTCACTGGGGTCACTTAAATGAAAGGACCATTAGCTATAATGAAACTTGCAGTTATCAGATGGTGTGTCACTACAAATTAAGCACAGCACATTTTCTAAAATTTTGGATGCTTGATTTAAATTAAAAAGATTTAAAAATGACATGTTCTTTTAATATTATTGTTTGTTTCTTTGTTTCTCCTTTTGTTGCTTGATTGTGATTTTAAACATGTGCATTCACATTTAATTTTAAAACATGTGCGTTTCTGTCTTTTAACATGTTTTAAAAGACAGAAACGCAAAGGTCTTAGAATATCCCTCTTTCTAATGGGAGTGATCTATGAACTAACTTTACTGGAACCAGACTTTACTCAATACCGACCTTCTGGAACCATCCCACAAACCTCATGGGGGTCCCAGCACAAACACTGCCCTGAAGTGTCCCTGGGAAAACGCCTCTTTCAGCCCCCCTGCTCAAACCTGAAGCAAAAGCTGCTTAAACATTAAAAGAGAGATAAGGGGAGGATAGTGAAACTCCCATAGAACTGAGATGTAGAAGCAGGGAGCCTTGCAGGGTGGGGTGGGCTGGGGTGGGGGTCTGGCCGCGCGGCATGGCTCTCCACAACCCCACTGGATGGGTCACTATCTACTCAAGTATAAACAATGCAAGAATCAACTGGAATCGAAACCTTGTTTCCACAGAAACACTGGATCACAGCAGAGGCGCGTGAAAAGAGGAGTTGAAAAAGCGCACGAGATCCCCAGCAGCTTCGAGACACCGGGACAGCCTGAGGAGTCTCCAGTGGAAGATTCCCACTGACGAGGACACCACAGCTTCTCCGAGGAACCGACCTGCTTAAAAGTTCAATGACCGCTGGCTGGCTGATGTCACAGAGGAAGCGGGCAGAGCCTTTACGCAAAGTGCGCGCGTGCCTTTCCAAAACAGCATGTGTCATTCAACTTTTACTCACGTTTGTTTTCCTGCATCCATCCATCCACACAAAAACAAACAAACACCAAACATCATAATAAAAGTGTTTGTCCGGTATGGTGCGCTCACCTTAAAGATAAATCAGATCAGGACGGTTCCGATCCTCGTGGGACAAAAACGTCTGTAGGGGAGGGGGGGACACTACAGCACTGGATCAGGCCACGTTGGTCAACATTCCCAGACTGGACAGATAGACAGGAGCAGTGGTAGGAGGAGGAGGAGAAAGTAGGAGGAGGAAGGAGAGAGAGCAATAGTGGCAGAAACTCATCTCCTGCAGCCTATGGAGGAGGACACACTCACCCCAAACATACAGGAGCACAAACAACTCCGCCCACTGTTTCCCAGACTGCGCCCACATGAAATGCTTCATTAAAGAGGCGTTCAGGTCTCACAGGAAATTAGGATGGTGGCTTTTTTTTTTATATATATATATCTTTTAGGTATTTCATTGTCATTAAAATTTGAACAAAACATTTAATGAAATAATAACCAATAGCAAGTTTAGAAAGTTGCACCTTTTATTTTTTTGTTCGTATTTTTAAAAAGTGCTATAACACACATAGAAAAGTTTTCATACGTGTTGATTTGTATTAGTTGGTTTTGTCTATATTGAACCACAAATTCTGATGTTTTATTTGGTGAGTTTTCATTTAGTTGTTAATTTTAGCAATTTGTAGAAAAATAGATACATGGTTTTGGATTTCTCTTTTATACAGATAAAAATCTGAAGAGTGGCCATGTTGGTACTGGTAACTCTGGAAGAGCTGCAGTGATCAGCAGCTCAGCTGGAAGACAAGCAGTCTAAATAAGGTCAAAGTTTAATACTGATCATATATAGTTACCTTTGTATATTATTATGATGAAAGTTAAGCTTTGAACAAGTACATCATTAGAACCTGAATGACACCAAAAAAAATTATTTCAGTTTATTCACACTAGTTAAAACTAAATTTAAAAATAAAAACTTAAATCACTAAACTGGCTCCCTGGTGTTTTGATTAGGGTTCCATTTTAATGTTTTGTGAGACAATGTCACCATCTGTTGTCTATTTTTTTCCTTTTAACTATGCTTCTTGTAGAGCCCTTCTGTCATTTTTTAAAGTAGTTTATGTAGAATAGAATAGGATAGAAAATCCCTTTATTGTCCCACAATGGGGAAATTCTGTTTACAGCAGTAAAAAGATTATAGAAAAAACTGTAACACAAATATGGACCTTGGAAAAATGTATAAAATTAACATATTAGTGATAAATTGAAAGATAAATAATAAAACACTGTACTGTAAAGTGCTTTAACAATATAAATATGGTTCAATACCAGCTTGTCAAATATATTAAGAAAAATAACAATAAAAACACTCTGAGAGTAAAAGAAACAAATTTTTTATTTTTTGTTTTTGGTAAAACATAACTTTAGAGGCATCATTGCTGACACTGGCAATCACATTTTTAGTTTATAAACCTAAATATAATTGTTAAGTAGGCTTATTAACTTTTTAACTTTACATTTTAACTTTTCAATTAGCTTTTTCCCTTTTTTTAAAGTGTTAACTTTTTTTTCAACTTAATTTACAGTAGGTAATATATCATTCTAGGGCTCATCTAATTGGTCGAATGCCAAAAAAAGATGTACAGCCATGTAGCAGTGTCTTTGCTGAATGGCTGGATATAGATCTAGTGCTTCTAAACCTCACTGAGGGATGGCGGGGGGGACTTCATTTGTAAGGGGTGTGGAAGTGATCAAAAAAGGTAACTTGCCCTGTAAAGGGTTAAAGCTTGAACAACAGAGAACCTTGCCATATATTCATCTTTTGTAGTAGTTGTGAAAATGATTATTAACGACTTTGTTACAAATGATGTTAAATAGCTTTTTAGGACTGAAACAGGGAATGGAGGTGATAGGGAAATGATTGTGCTGTAGTTCAGATGTTCAAGGCTTGGAACACGCTCCAGTTTTGATGAAAGTCGTGTTCTGACAAGCACAATCTTTGATAAAAACACGTTTTGCCATGGGGTGTGTAAATTGCACAACAGGAGGTCAAAACTCATTTCACCATTTCAATCTTACAACTGTAGTCTTTGTATAACTCCAAGCCTTGAGGCATTGCATAAGACTTTGGAGCAGTTACTGTAAAATATGACATCAGAGGTGAATAACCAGCTTGTGTTTGGTTATTTAGCTCTTGTGGGTTTTTTCATTTTAAATTTATTCTGTCAACTCAAAAGGGGAGCCTTACTGAATGAAACTAAATATTACGTCTCTGAAGAAATGTTTTTTCTCACTAAAACCCCAAATATATGTCTTTGGATTATTTGGTCATCAACCAAAATAAAAGAGTAC